TACTCAAATCCTCCCATCCATGGAGCTAGGATTGTTGCCAATGTCGTTGGTAATCCCGAGCTCTTCAATGAATGGAAACAAGAGATGGAAATGATGGCAGGGAGGATAAAGAGCGTGAGACGAAAACTATATGACAGCCTTTGTGCGAAGGACAAAAGTGGGAAGGATTGGTCATACATACTAAAGCAGATTGGCATGTTTTCCTTTACCGGCCTCAACATAGCTCAGGTTAATCTTGTTTATGTTTCCCCATTTGTCTCCCTTGTTTTGGTTTGAAAAAAAAAGTGATCTCTTACAGAGCACTCCCTCTGTTTTCACACATTAAAGCCCTGTTCTTTTGAGTTGGAAAAATTAACATCCAACTTTTTCCAACTCCTTCGAGTTCTTTGTAACTCATTCCAGTTTCTTCCAGCAACGACAATTAAAAAAGTATTTATATATGATGAATATCAGAATATACAATAGCATTATATTTCCAAATTTATAACATACCACCTCCAATACGGACAATGATGAATTTTTTTAATCTAGAAATAGAGTTCTCTTGCATATTTAATCTAGAATTAGTATTTTTTTTCTTAACTTTTTAATCTTGTTTCTTCCAACAGCTAACTCTGAAATTTCAACTCAAAAAACAGGGTCTAACTGACATTTAATGATTAAACTCATCATAAGAACTTACTTCCACGGAAAAAACTCATCTTCTTATGTCTGCCCGGCCATATGTTTCTCATTTCTTTCGGTTTTTTTTTGCACTTTCTTGTGAATATTCAGAGCGAAAACATGACGAACAAGTGGCACGTATACATGACCAAAGATGGAAGAATATCGCTGGCTGGATTGTCTGCAGCCAAATGCGAATATCTTGCAGATGCCATCATCGATTCATTCTACAATGTAAGCTAAGCTAAACTAAGCTAAGATGATATTGGAAGTACTTCCTTTCATAGTAAGCAGAAGAGGAATGCTGGTGAGTTCATTTTTCCATTGTTTGATCTAATAGTTCAAAGAAATGTTGCGATAATAATAATAATAGGCAATTTCTATTTGAAGATTTCCCGCTGATTCACATAATAATAATAATAATAATAATAATAATAATAATAATAATAATGTGATTTTGTATCCAAAATGGTTCCAATGAGGTTCTTCCCTATTTTATTATTATTATTTGTAGGCCCTGTATGTACACATTACTTCTTTATATATATATATGTGTGTGTGTGTGTGTGTGTGTATATATATATATATGTATATATATATATATATATGTGTGTGTGTATATATATATATATATATATATATATATATATATATATATATATATATCAACTTTGAGTCATCTGCTTGGACAAGTGTACCCTAGAGCTGTGGGTCTTTCAAAAACAAGGTCTCTCCCTTTTTAAAGGGGGGTCACTTGAAGAAGAAGAAAAGTAGGGGTGGGGTGAGATGGGGTGGGGGTGTTGAAGAAGAAAAATAAGGTCAAATAAAAAAAATTAAATTGCTAAAATTATAACTTGGCTCTAGGTAACTTGTTGGTCGCTTGAAAACCTACTATTAATTTTTTAGAAAAAAGAGTAGCAAGTTTAGATGTTGTAAGAGGATTTGAAGTTCTTATACCGAAATGAAATTACCCTCAAAGTTTATATACTATTTGTAAAATTGCCCTACTAAGAGCATGAGCAATGACAAGTAACGAATGGAATGATACACGGTGACACAGAGTACTCTAACCACAGGAGAAAAACAATTGGGGCATATGTCTTTTTCATATTCTTTGCCGGTTACTGGACGGGAAATAGTTTCGGGGGCCCAGTGTGAATCCTTTAAAAACCATAGGGATTCCAGGAGTAAGTATTAAAAACAGGGAGGGTTTTGGTGTCTATTTTTCAAACCACAGGGGAATTTAGTGCTATTAGGCCGATGAGATGGGGTGGGGGTGTTGAAGGAGAAAAATAAGGTCAAATAAAAAATTTAAATTGCTAAAATTATACCGAAATGAAATTACCCTCAAAATTTATATACTATTTGTAAAATTACCCTACTAAGAGCATCAACAATAACAAGGTGAAAATGGAATGCCACACGGTGACATTAAACATTTTAACCAATCAAAAATAATCCAATCAGCGTGTGACAAGTAAATGGAGTGGCAAGTTCTACAATGGCAAGTCATTATTTTTTTATCATTTTTTACATTTTTTATGTTTTTTCAACATAAAAAAATATTTTTATTATTTATTTTATTAGAAAATTGTTCTACTTTCTTGTACATTTTTTTCATAAAAAATTTTTAAAAAAATTATTTTTAAAAAAAGAAAAAATGTAGTATGAAGTGCCACACTCATGCCTCACCAAGCAAGGCATTTTGGTCCTGCCATGCCATGATATGAGTGGAAGAAGCTGATGTGTCAGTGTAAGGCATTCCTCTTTCATGTCATTGCATATGCTCTAAGAGCATGGGCAATGACAAGTAACGAATGGAATGACACACGGTGACACAGAGTACTCTAACCAATCAAAACCAGTCCAAGTTGCGTGTGTCAAGTGAGTAGAATGACATTCCTTCCAATAGTAAATCATTGTTTTTGTCATTTTTTATATTTTTAAACATATTTTAATTATTAAAACTATTTTACTTATCTTTTTTTCATAAAAATACATGTACTCTTTAAAAAAACTTCTTTTTTTACATAAAATTAAAAGAATAAAAAAACTAAAAAAAAAAAAAGAAGAAGAGATGCCTTGAGTTGCCATGCCAAGCATGGCAAAATCTCATAGCTATGCATGACAAATGTAATACTGGGATGATGTGGCAGGGCATGGCAGGCAGTTGTCTTCTCCACTACTCTTGCTCTAATCGACTTCTGTAATTCTATTTGAAGGTTTCCTCATCAATTTAATTAGAAGAATGGACATGTTCGCTGAATAATGATAACAAAACTACTTGAGGTACACCAAAGTGTATCCCAACATCCTCTCCACCTTTTTATTTTTGGCGTGAATAAAAAATTAAAAATGTAGATAAAAAATTATATAGTTGAAAATGTATTGGGATACAATTAATTTGATATACCCCAATTGGATCTTAACTCCTAAGCCCAAACATTATACCCTAACGTTGCGAGTATTTCAAAAACAAGGTCTCTCCCTTTCCTAAGTAGGATTAACATTGCTAACACTTACACTATCATTAAAAATTTGGAATGAAAAATATATACACAAAGGAGTAATAAGAAAAAGAATAATACTCTAGATTATAACATTATTTTATCGTACTTCATAATATTTCAAATTAAAGTACATGATTTGAAAAAACATTACTTAGAGCAGTGGCAATGGGCATAACGCCCACCCACGTTATGCTCCGTTTGACGCCTGGGGGGCATTAAACACCGCCCCCCTCCCCCGTTATCGGCGCGTTAAAACTCACGCGTCAAAGTTTTGACGCAATTTGGAGCCGATGTCACGCCTTTTTTCTTCTTCTTTCTCCCTCTTTTTTCATCTTTTCTTCTATATAAATTAAATTTATTTTTTTTTAATTCAACACAAATAAAATTTTTTCTCTATCTATCATCTTTTTAAAAAAATTATTATTCAAGATTTTTTTTATTTTTTCATGAATGTAATTTTTTATTTAATGAATGTATTTTTTTATTTAATGAATGTAATTTTTTTATTTAATGAATGTAATTTTTTATAATGAATGCAATTTTTTAATGAACTATTCCCGTTTCAATTCTTTTAAGTAATTAAATATTTAAATTTAATTAATTTAATTTTAGAAGATGTGTATTTAAAATGTAAAAAAATGAAGGTTTGAAGCCCCCGTTTGAAGCTCCGGGGCTTGAAACCCATTTCCACTGAAACTGTGAGGTAAGTTAAAGCTGACGTGGCAGAGAGAGAAAGTTTGAAGCCCCGGGGCTTCATGGGTATTTCGAGTGCCCTTAGGTGGGTCGGTTAGGTAGGATTTGACAAATTTTTAGGGAGTCATATTTAGTTCGGTTAACTTCAAGTTCAATCAATAAAATCATTATTCTAAACTTAGTAATTTTGAATGGGATTCCGAGTCAGAAATAGGTAGGGACATTTTTTGTCAAGTCTATCATTATGACTTTATCCATCTAAAGCATTACCTAGTCACGCGATTAATTGTGTCCGACTGACTTATCAAATATTCTTCCACCTTTAGATGTGGTGCCAAGGAACTTTTTGACTTTACCCTTTTTTCTTTTTTTTTTTGTGATGTAAAAAACATCTTTTTTCTTTTTATGAAATTTTTTTAGATGACTCACAATCTTTATCATTTCTTTGCCTTATTTTATACCATACATTTTTACTTTAAACTTTGTGTCATTCTTAAGTAGAGGGCTTTTTTAATAGAATGAGCATCTAACAAAATTATTTAGCCTAACATGTTTAAATTTAACTTATATTATTAGAAATTTATGCAAAATACAATCCAACAAGTATTTAAAAAAAGAAAAGGTTGGGGATATTAGACACACACAAACAATTACTCTTTTCATCCGAATATATTCTTTACATTTGATTTTTTTATCAAAATTTGTAAAACCCTGATTATAATTTGTGGAAAAATTATATTGTAATATGATATAAGTTTAATATCAATATATTCTGAATGAAACATAATTTTAAAATATCAAATTTTTATAAAATATATGCATATATAAATACGGATATTAATGGTCAAAGTGCAATATAAGAGAACGTGAAAAGTCAAATGCGAAAAATATTTTTAGGCAAATACTTCAAAAAAACATGACCGTCCAAAGGTATTGCACAGTTGACAAAGGTAAGAACTATCAAGGGGTAAGAGCTCTACCTCTATTATCCATCTGTGATTAAAACTAATGTATTCTCTCTCAGTTACCGTTTGATCGAGTCTAACGGAGCACGCAGGCCCATCTTCTTTTTTTAAAAAAAAAACATGACACGATATACATTTATTCCCAAAGTAATTGCTCACGCGTTTTAGAATCCGTGGACTCCACGTTTTCTCTACCGCCTCTGCTTGCTATATAACCCATCTTTCGTCTCCTCCCTTTTCCCATATCTCGAAACCCTTCTTCTCTCCAGATCCGCCATTCCTGTCCATTCATAGCTGTGTATGTACGTACACACGAGGAGCGTTTCTACACTCCAAGATCTGTAATCTGTTCAATCTTCTTTCTCTTCTCCCTCGATCTTTAATTAAAAATCATTTCTTTTTCTTGTTTATATTTCTCTGCCGGAGTTGACCGTATTTTCCGATGGGTTCAGTGGAAGTTCTTCGCCCTCAAGACCCTTTACAGAATCGATTTAATCGTCGGAACGCTAGTTTTGTGAAAACAGCTACGAAGTCGAAGGTGAATTCGTCGTCGAACCCTAACCCTAACCCTAATCGGGGATCCGGGAGGGTAGATCGGCGGAAGCGAAGGCTTCAGAATAGATCTACCGATTCTGGTAGAGATGGAGGGGTCAGTACCTCCAGTTCCCCGCCGGGGAAGAAGTCGACAGCGAGTAATTTGTTCTTGGGGCAGGTGAGGATTTTGAAACGCGGTGAAGTGTTGACTGATTTGGCGTCGCTGAATGAAGATTCCAAGAGGGTTGACGAGAAGGGAGGGGAGAAGTCACCTGTTGAAGATTTTGTGTTGTCCACGGTTGCTAGGCTAGGTCCGGAACCAGAAAGGATGCCGAAAGAGCTTAGATTCTGCAACTTCTTCGCCGGTTCTGCTTGCATTACTTCTCCCCCTCCGAGCTCTCTGCCGCTTCCAGCCTTTTTTAAGAAGAAAAACATACTTGGAGAAAGTAAAGATGATGCTACTGGTGATTTAAGGCGTCTTCTGCGGATCGATCTGTATTGAGCTTCTGCAATTGATTGCTCTGTTGTGTAGATGGTTTCCCAGGAATCCATTCACAGTGAAGACGAAGTTGTTTCATGGCGAAGGGATGTGGTTGATTGCTTCTGTCCACAGAAAACTTCTCTTATTTTTTCAAGGGGAAGGTGGGATCAGAAAGGCAATTCTCTCAAGTCTCCTGAAAACTGCAAATTTCGTGTCTTAAAAAAATATATTATGTGTTAAAAAAATGCGTTGTCGTCTAGTCTGTGTCTAGTTTAATTTAATTATTAGCTTTCTGCAGTTTGAAGAAATAATTTCTAGAGTCTTGAGTCTTTGATGGAATTACATGTAGTTACTAGTTGGGTGTAATTGAGTCATGTTTGGGTCTTCTTGACTTGTGTTAGGGCCATGATGGTCTCTACCAAGCAGTTTGGTATCTTTATATTAAAAATGGTTATGTTTTCTTCAGTCTTTCTTGTCTTTACTTGTCATTTGATATTTCTCCACCAGACAAAATACTGGGATACATTTGTTGCAATTTCTTAGTTTACTTTTGGAACAGGAATCTTTAAGTAGATTGTGCATTGAGCCTCTCTTGCACATGTGGTTGATGTTTGAAGAATCTTGAGTTTGTTTAAGGGCCGGCATAGTGACCACGTCTTGGGACTCTAATGCAGAAAGCTTTGCACTTTGTCTTTGTTTTCAGCTGCGTTTTACCCTTAACGTTGTCTACGGTTCTCCCTCTATGCTAATTGCAGGATGCTGCTCCTCAGCGTTCAACCATGAAATTTGGTGTTTTTAGCAGGTATATATTAGTTGGTGTCCAACTGCATCTCCATATAAGCAATGGTTTGGCTCTGGAAAACTAGGGTTTATTTGTTCAAGGAGTTGCTTCATGGAGAAATCCCATTCAAGTAAGAAGCTCAAATCTTTTTAGCTCTTAAAATCAAATCATATTTTTTTATACGGAGTAGCTTCTATGTATTATTTTTCTTTAACTTCTGTTTGATCCCGTTGGCTATTATGTACGTATCGTTTTTTTACTACTGTGTCATCCTGTTGCTCTTTGGAATTTAATCTGTTTGTGTGGTTTGTTTTGAAATTAATTTGTTTGACATGTTAGTTTATGATTTTTTCTACTGGTTTGTTGTACATAATTGGTAATTGTTATACTCGGTAATTGGTTTTGCACCTTCAATTTTTCTGCCACTCTGTATTTAGGCTATTCATTGGGAAATATAAATACCAAATTTTCCTAACTGTGTCCATTACCTCATCGCAGTATTCGCATCAGTGAAAATAGATTGTTCATATATGAAGAACCTTTCTTCTGTGATACTTAATAGAAATCTCATTTCTATACTTCTTTCAATTTGCCTGTTTTTTTTTTGTTGTCTTTTCTGCAACTTTCTGCATCTAAAGCTGGTTATATTTCGTCCATTCCTTGCAATTTTTGGACATGTAGATGTAGTCATCATACTCCAGTTGGTTTGTGGCATTGATGAGAGAAATCTTTGGTAGTAGATACTATGGCCTTGTTTGGGAACATTATTTTCCATTAGCGTTAGCGTTTTGGATAAGATTTTAATGGTGTAGATTAATTCTGAAAATGCTAATCTTAAAGGCTGCCGTCAGATAGCTTTTTCAATTTTCAAAATGCCAACTCTAACCCCTAATGTTATGATGCCAAACGGGGCCTATATATAGTGCGATTTTCTAATGTTGTATGAGGCAGTAGCTTTTGGACAGCTTACATTGTCTTTTAGGACCTCTTCTTTGGTATAATCTTGTGCTATAGATTTTTCTCCCATATATTATATTTATTGCAGAATCAACTGTGGGTTTGCTGAAGCTTGAAGTTGATTGCAGATTATTGCTTCTCAAAATGAACAATGAAGTGATGATGGTTTGCTTGCTGGCTTATACTTGGGCTTTTATAATAGCACGAGTTTGTTGATTTCATTCCATTTAGATATGGATAGAGGTGTAAACGAATATTAATTGGATCAAATGTGCAATTACCAAATTCGTATCTGTTTACTTTTGTCGGATACTGAAATCGAATATGGATCTTGACGGATACTGAAAATGAAAATTGTAGTCGCATCCGTCGAATATCGGTAGGATATTGAATATATCCGTATCCGTTTCCAATTTTTAAACCTAAGTAAAGAAAACTTTAATTTTCAATTAAACTAAATCAAAACATTATTAAATCAACTATAATTTTTTATGTGATAATTATTTTCTTATTTTTTATAGTTTATGATATTCTACAATTATTTCATATATTATAAATAAACATACATAGGCCATATATACACATTTTTTATATGCCTACTCTTTTTTTGTGTGTCTATACATATATTGTACATATAAAAATATCTTATACTTTGAGATATTAACAAATAAACAAAATATAAGACTAAAAAATTAGGAAAACTATATATAACGGATCAAATACATAGAGATAAATGTTTATTTAAACGGATGTCAATGTGGTGCGGATTATAAATGAATTGAACGTATGATTATCAGATCCGTATCTGTTTGGCAATTGGATATCCTTAATTAGATATGGATAATAACCGCTTTTAACGGATGCGAATATTTTCTATATAAACGGATATGAATGCGGACAAGAATTAAATTTTTGGTTATTCATTTATAGCCCTAGATATGGAGAAGGGAGATCATGATTTCTATTACTCAGCTCTGGCTAGACCTGGCAATCGGGCCAATCGGTTTGGTTCCGGTTCGGGTCTCATTCGGATATATGTTGTAATCGGTTCGGGTCGGATCGGTTCCGGGTTAATTTCGGTTTGACTGGTTTTTGGTTTCGGTTCGGTTTCGGTTCGGGTTTGTATCGGATCGGGTTTATATCGGTTTGGGTTTGTATCGGTTCGGGTTTGTATCGGTTCGAGTTTATATCGATTCGGATTTGTATCGATTTAGGTTGTTCAAATATATATCAAATATTTACTAATAAATCAATAATATCACATAATAAATTTAATCAATTTATGATATACTCCGTAGTTATTTTATTGGTTAACACGGACGTACATAAAATTTAATCAATTTCGGGTCTAATCGGTTCCGGGTTTAATCGGGTTTGGGTTTAATCGGTTCGGGTTTAATCAGATTCGGATCTAAATCGGGTCTGAATACATTCGGTTCGGGTCATTTCGGGTGTTTGGGTCTATTTCGGTTCTTCAGTTTTCAGGTCAAATCGGGTTCGGTTCGGGTCCGGGTCAGTTTTGCCAGGTCTAGCTCTGGCTGATGAAGTGGCCTTTGAACAAGTTTTAGAGTTTAATTTTAACATTTTGAAAAGAAAAAAAATACTACTATAGTTTTAATGATGTGAAGTTTAAATATAACTACATTCATATCAGAAAGCGTATTCTAATCATATTAGAACTATTCAGATTAGGTGAAGAGAACATGTTCTTACTCTCTATTTTGAAATATTTTACACTATTACTATTAACAATTACTCCCCTCGTCCCAAATTATAATGCATGTTCACTATTCACATGGTCAAACTTCATTCACTTTCTTTCTCTATTTTCGTTAGCAATTTGATAAAATAAAGTACTATACTTACCACTAGTTTTGTAGATCTTTTGATGTATTATTTTAATATATAATTTTTATTTTTTTAACTATATACCATTTGTCATATAAAATGATTTGAAAATAATTTCAGTCAAACATCGTAAACCGAAACAAGCGTTATACATGTCTTTATTGAATAACAGATAAAATAAAATATTCTTAACATGTCTTATTTTGTAAAACTTTTGATGTAAATTTAAAATATGTAAGTTGTATTTTTTAAATTTTACACCTACTAATTTGTGAATAAAATTAGTTTAGAAGTTATGATATTTTGTAAGTCGTTCTATGAAAAAAAAATATTTTACCTACCTGCAGATTTTTTTAGATTGTCTCGTACTTCCTTCTTCTTATAAAGATGAACCGCATTTTGACTTTTGGAAAATTTAAAAGAGATATTTTTGTGTTGATTTTTCAAAAATACTCTTGATGTGATGGATAAGAGTACAGTGCGATGGGTAGATTGTTAGTAAAAAAATCTGATGCAATAGATAGGTTAAGAATTAGTAAGAATAAAAGTAGTATTTTATTTAAAAAAAGGAAGGATTTTGTGGGAAAAGAAAAAGAAAGAAAGAAGTTTTTGGAAAGGATGGTGTTAAATTTCACATTTTTTATTAGTCCAAAGGTGAAGGCTTATTGAAGTAAGGAATATGAGGCACATACCTTTTCTTTTTATTCGAAATGAACATCAAACATACTTTTCAATACCTTTTTTTGAACGAAGAGTGAAGGCAATTTTTTATTTTGTTTTGGAACGAAGGACATATGAGTCACCAAGGCCATTTTGGCTTTGGCGTCGAGCGGCACACACCACCGCTGCCTTAGCTTTGTCGATCGATGGGCATGTAATCCTCGTCCCCTTCACCGCGATCTTCTTCTTCTTCCCCTTCTCTTTATCTCTATCTTTCCTCTTTTCTCTTTTTGGCGTGGAGGTGAGGTGGTTGGTTGAAGTCGTGTTTAATTCAATTTATATTAGAATTAGGGCGAGATTAAAAAATAAAATAGTTAAAATATGCGACAAGACTATGACCTTGTTTGGAACATGGTAGTTGGCAGTTGATTGTTGCCTGTTTATGTTGGCTGGTTTGAATGATTGATTGAGTTAGCTGTTTTGACCGGCTGTTTCTGTTAGCTGTTAAAAATTAGATGTTTGGCAACTTTAGCTGTTTATAGTTAGCTGTTTGTGAGTAAAATTACATATAAGGACATCCCTCCAATAATGTTAATTTGTGTATGATTTTAAATTTTTTTTAATTTGATAGAATACACACATTATACAAGAAAATGCTTTACATATATTTTTTTGTTAGACAAAAAAGGCTACTTTGATTTTTTTATTTTAAGAAATGAGAATTTACATTTATATTTTATAAGTAGATTTTTTTTATTTTTCTCATTTATCATTCTACAAATAACAACCATGCATGATATATTTTATTTTATAATTTTTTAAATATGATATCATAAATATAATAAAAATACTCTACACCAATTTTAAATTAAAAATTTAAATAAATTACTCGAGACAAGCATCACAATATGAAGTATCAAACATCTTTTGAGACGACATGAGCATTAGAAGTGACAAAAAATCAGACAAGGTCTCGACCAGTCAGGAAATTGCACGGAGAAAGTCAGGAAAACTTACGGTGCCGTGAGGATCGCAGAGAGGCAACACCGAAAAAAGGGTAAGAAACGGAAAATGGATGAACTGCTAAATGAAATGCTGCTAGGGTCGGCATTTTAATTTTTGGCTGTTCGGTACTAAATGCCAATTCCAAAACCCATTATCCAAACAATTAATTTGGTGGTTTGACTAGTACAATCCGCCGTTTATGGTCAAAGATACCAAATGCTGAGTGAACAGCCATTTACCAAACATGGTCTATATTATTTTATCAAATAAGTAGTGAATATAAACAAAGAAAGTAAAAGAAATACGACCATATGAATTAAAACATGCATTTTAATTTTGGACATATGAAGTTTGCTCTCGCAGTCTCAAAAAGAATTACACAATTCACTATTCAAAAATCAAGTAAAATATTTTTTTTGTTCCTTTTTTCGATTATTTTGAAGAACTTTAGGTGTAGTTTTTAAATACTCCTTATGTTAGTTTTATTTTTATTTTATGCCAATTTTAAAAAAAATGAATTGAGAAAAAATTGAGGGAGTATCTTTACTCAAACAATATAATTTATAAACTGATATAAAAAAAGTACAACTTCCATATTTAAAAAGTATATCTGCGCCCAAAATTAAATTACCTATAATGACTTTTTTATAAAATGTATTGTATAATTAATAATTATATCACGCATAATTAAGAGAATAAAATATTGTTTTGTATTAAAATAATGATATTATGGTTCAAAACTGAAAACTACATAAAGTGCTTTTCAAAACGAGAGATGATATTATTATTGTTTTAAGAGATAACTAACGAAATTAAGTGATAAAAGAAAAAATATTTGATCTTTAAATACTAAATGAGACTAACCGTTAAAAGCCGGAAGTAGTATACTATATTAAAAATTTGTACTTTCCCCGCTTCTAAAAGCCATTCTTATCCATTATTCAAGATATTTTGATAATTTTTGTTTGCGTGTATTTTTTCATAAGTCGTTTCGACCTCAACAATGCTGCACGCCAGACGGACGGCCGCCATGTAAGCTACGGACAGAGATGAGGGGCGTGTGCGTTGGAGGCAGTCTAAGTGCCCCCAAACGGATCTATATACCCATTATACTATCGAGTAATTAATTTTTAAGTGATGTTAGGAGAATCCTACTTTACACATTTCAAACAATTATACATATTTATTATCTGTGTGTTACAGACAATAAATGTTTGTATTTGTATATGGTGGGCAATGTGTTTGCAAAAAGGGTTTCCCAAACTTTATTAAACCTTTGAATGCTTGAAAAAATTCAATGAGAATCTTTCTTTTTTGTTTATTACTCCGTACTTAATTATACAAAGTTTGTGGTTTGGTATAAAGCTTTTGACCATTTTGGTTAGGCACAACCATACGGAGTATATAATATCTCAATCTCAATTCAATAATAAAAGGACCCATATTTTTAAACTTACTGCCTCTGCTTTTTAAAATAATTTTTATTTCGTTTTAACGTGCAAAACTTTATCTTTTTTTAAATAAGTTTAATAACAAATTCGTACAGAAATAAAAAGTAAAAATTACATTTATAAAAACAACATCAAAAATTCTACAAAACATGAGGTGACAAAAATATTTTTTTTTCAAATTACTAATGAAAAAACACATGCAAACAAAAGTTATCGTGATGCCTTGAACAGTAAATATGAATGATTTTAAAAACAGGTGGAGTATTTAAATATAGCAATACCTTTAACAGCTCTCAAGCCTCAAGCGTTATACTTCGTAATTAATTAGATAGTCTTTTCGAAGCAATAATACTAGCTTCTTACGACGTTACCAAACGGGGCCTAAATTATTAAGTAACTCATTATGTGGTGCACATTACTATTAAAAGAAATACTATGAATTGGGAGAGCATGAAACAAAAATGCATTAAAAATATTTCAGTATATCATTTGTCCACCAACAATGTTCATCTCTCAATATAATGTCCAAAATAGAAAACAAAAGTGTCATCTGTCCACCAACAATGTTCATCTCTCAATATAATGTCCAAAAATAGCAAAAACAAAACTGTAATTATTGTATGTTTCTTAACCAAACCAAGAAAGAAAATAGAAAAAAATGAACTCATGAATATATTTCCTTCGAGTCATCAATCTATCTTCACCGAGGAGAAAAGGCGGTGCACGAAGAAGAACGACGTGAGGAAGCCAACGGCGCCTGTCGCGAGCATTATCGCGATAGCCATTAGCATTGAGTAGCCCAGATACAGAATGGCTGAGACTGGGCCACTCAAGCTCTTGAGATCAAACACAAGGTAGTTGATAGAGTACAAAAAGATGTAAAATGCAACCGAACCGGATGCGAAGAACGACTTCCACCACCAACGCCAATCCTCGACGCAGAGTTGCATGTAGGTGAGGACCAAGGAGACCTCGGCGCACACCACGACGAGGAGAATCACGACCACGAAGAGGAACCCGAAAACGTAGTACACGTGCCCGAGCCAAATGCTCGACATTATGAAGAAAAGCTCGATGAATAGTGTCCCGAACGGGAGGGTCCCTGCCCCGATGACAAGCAACCATGTCGGGAATCTCTGGGCGGGGATTTCACGAGGGATTTGATTGGTTTTGGTCGGGAATCCTAGGTGCGGGACCCGAGCCCCTATGAGTCCACCGATTAGGGTTAAGGGAACCGAGATGCAGAACCAGAGGAGGAGAAGGACCACGTAAGTCACGAAAGGGATCGCTCCCGTGCTTCGGCTCCACCACAAGAGAAAGTTCAAGATTGTGAGGATGAAAAACGCGATCCCGGGGAAGAAACAAGACACTCTCCATGAAATGGAAAACCACCCGGTCGGATCTCCGCCATTGACCGTCTTCAGAAGCCAAGAGGAGACGAAACCGGCGACAATGCCTAAGAACATGAAGAAGGAAAGCATTCCCGTGATCAGACTGCCACGGGAGGCTGGGGACATGAACCCCAGCGCCGCGAAAAAGATCGTGGCAACCGCCATTCCTAGAATTTGGCATCCATCCCCAACCACAATGCAAAGTAGTCTAGGATTCCCGGGTGCCCGAAAAACGTCCCCAACCACAAGTTTCCACCCCGACAACTCCTCGTTCATATGAGCCTCCTTGTCTAACTCCTCGTACCGAGCCAAATCTCTTCGAATCGTCCTCAAGAAAATGATGAGAACTATCCCGGCTAAGAATGTGATCACCATGAGCGAATTCAGGATCGAAAACCAATGGACTTTCGAGCCTTCCATCTTCAAATACGCATCCCACCTAGATGGCCACTTGATGTCGCTCTCTACAAAGGCGACCTCGTAGGTGAAAACCAACGGTTCACCTTCCTTAATGGCCATGCCCACCATTGCGGGGTCGCACTGAATCGATGTGGGATACTTAACATACATACTTTGATTCGCAACCGATTTGGCATTGTGTTGGAAGCTACACGGAACGACTTCGAACCCTACCACCACATACCCCGGGGCGACCTCAACTTTGCTTGAGTTATAGTCGCCCGCTATAAGCTCAGCCCCATCAGCAGCCCCAACTACACCCGCGACACTCGTTCTCTCATACTTATGAACCAAAACAGTAAACTTCAAATGATTGAACACATAGTAAGCACTCTCGACCTTAACCCCAACCGGGTACCCGGTCCATCTAAGAAGGAAACCATCCTTGTTCAAATACCTAATTGCAGGCAAATTGTCAAGAATCAGATTCACCTGATACATTTCATCAATCCTCTCCTTCAAGATCTTGAACTGATCAGCTGACAATGCGCCCGTTTTGCACAGAAAGATCTCGGACTCATTCACCCGCATCCGGAATCGATACGGGGAATTCTCGATTCGGTCCCCCATGAGGAGCTCACCTAGGTTTTCTGCACTGTCCTTGACACCTTCAAGAGGCTTACAGAATGGCAAAGTGTAATACCCATATGGAATTTCAGTTTCAATTGAGGTTAAAGAATTCACCTTCACAGATAACTGGTCTCCCACATCATACCGGTGAGGGAAACTGCCCGGGAGATAAAACCCATCGGAACATTGAAGAATCACACAACAGATCAATGCCCATTTCTTGATTTGGCCCAAGAAACCCATGGATCGGACTGGTTTCAGCGATTTCCTGGAGAATCAAGAACGACCCAGATTATAATCTGAGGTAAAGGTGAGATCTTGATGAAATTCTTGGACTGGAATGGGGTGATTAAGAAAAGATGGAATTAATCAGAATCTGTCACATGAGATGCAGATGGTACGGGTTTTGAACTGACCTTGACAGAGAGAGAGAGAAAGGAAACGCATGAAATGTTGTTGGGTATTTGGGAAGGAAGAGCAATGGTGAAACTGACAGAGGCTATTTATAGGCATGCATACTTTTCTTCCGATTTATTCCAACATATGGAGTTTTATTTTTTCTCCTACAACAAATTCTTCCATAGACCTAAAGTCTATACTCAATATATAAACTTTAGTAAATTTAAATATAAAAAAAATGAATCTTTTCAAAATAAGAAATATACACACGTAAGTCTATGAAAAATGTGAGAAGTCCACATTTTAAATGTGGATCTTGAAACCATGTAAGCATTATTTTTTCATCAATGGAGTGATGTGTTTTTCTATGCTGATATTTATTGGCTTATTGCTGATAAATAATTTTGAATTTATAAATTGCTCAAAAGTAAGAAATACTTTTGTAGAAATAAAATGACAGATAAGTCATTTGAGAATATTCGGAAAATGGTGAGTGTTAGTTTTGTAAATAAAGTCGAGAAATGAAAAAACTAGGTTAAAAATAAATAACTAAGAATATGAGTAAAACATCGTAAGTTCTATTTTGAAAATAAAAACATGAACGTCTTATATAAGTTTATTTGTATGTTTTACGTCTATTTTAGTCTTTCTCTCGTAGAATATTTTTTCTCTAAGCATTCCCAGATAGCGTAGCTCAAACGGTTAAGATGCGAGTGCTAACGGAGTAATTCGGGATCGATTCTCACCAACATCGGTGAAGAATTTCCATATTTTACATAGAGTCTAGCATGTGCCAAAAACATTTTCAAGTTTCTATCAATCAATTTGAGCTATATAGTAACTTCATTTACTAACGTACTATCTAGACCGTTATCTTTTTCTTTTGAGCTTTTATTTGAGATAATTTTTTAGATAAGTCTAAAATATAGACTCTATCTTTGCAAAAAAATCATCATTTACACGATTCAAATGGTCAAAATTTATTTCATTTATGTGCTTATTTTTTACTATTCATTTTATTATAAAATGAAAAATGCTGAAGCCATAAATAAATAGTTCAGGTATGTCAAAAAGGACATAAACTTATTGCTTGCGAACTCATAAAAAGAATAAAATGGTCTCAAATTATTAAGAAAAGAAGTATATATTCACAAATGCATAATTTATACACTATGTTTGTCATTTTGTCATTTATCTAATATAATACCCGAGGATATAACTATTTCTCTAACCCCTTATTGGAAGAGGTAAAATAAGAGAGAAAAGAAAATAAAAAATGGAAAAGAATGATGTGAGTGAATGTATTGTGTTTGGGAAGGTGAAATCGTACGTGTTCATAAAATTAATGATTTTTACCCCTTAATGTCTTCATTCCCCTTCTTCCCATGTAAATTCCTCACCTTGGCCCAACCCGAACCCCGTCAACTACACTCCTAAAATTGAGTTCACTTTATTGTGATTTTTTATTTAAAAGTATACTAAATTTTGGGAGTACAATTAAAAAGGGTGGCATCAAATTCTGTTGGGTCATGATAGGGAATTTGTTAGAGAAGTTAGAGGGGTAGAAATCGTCATTTTTATGAACTGGACACCGTGTCCCAATCGAGTCAATATTATATTCTTTGCATCCCAAATAAGATTTCTTGTTTCTTTTTTGGGACGTCCCAAAACAATTTATTTTTCTTTTTTGGAAAATGTTGAATACTTGAATGGCTCATAATCTTTTCTCACCTCTGCATCATTTTCGATCACACATTTTTATTTCATTTATTTAAACTTTGTGCCAAGAAAACCAAACGGTCTTTTTTGAGACGAAGGGAGTATTATGATATTGAGAAAAGTGTACCGTTTACCCCCTGAATTCTTCAGAAATTGCACAGTTTACTCATGAGTTATGAACATTAAAAAATGCACCAAATACCTCTGAATTCTTCGTAAATTACACGATTTAATCCTAAACATTAAAAAGTGCACCAAATACTTCTAAAACTTTTCGGAAATGCATGGTTTAACCTTGAGCATTTAAATAAAGATAATAATTTTGAGGAAGTGTACTTTGAAGAATCCACAAGGGCCAGTATAATCATACTCGCAATTCCCGTGCGCGGGAGCAACACACTCCCTATCTAACATTTTAGGACCAACGGTGCAACGTTTGTTCAGGGGTATTAGGTATACTTTTTAATGTTGTAAATCGTACAATTTTCAAATAATTCGAAATAAACGAAACATTTATTAACATTCAGGGGTAAATCATGTAATTTTCAATCGCTCTAAGTAATTCTCAGGGACCTGCTGCATTTTTATAGACTTCTCTTAACACAATCCTAGTAGGAATAGGTTAGTAGAAGTTGGCTTGAACTGAACTTCCTTAATCTTGATCCACAAGTAGTCTAAAGTGTTGGGATTCCTTAGCATGTACAGCTGGAGTTATTATCATGTAATCACAATCCCAATGGGTCTCTAATTTAGATTGCAACTTAAAATCCCGTGCTCAGACCTCTGATCCCGCACACTGTGTTGCAGCATCGTGTTGTAGCATCTTCTGTGTTAACCTTGAAAACTACAGCAATTCTAGAAGTCTAAATAAAATAAACCTCTCCTAACAAATAGAGGTTTCTCTTTAGTAAAACACCTAACAAATATAGGATTCTATTTTGCCAAAAGTATAGCCAACATCATGTAACTAACAATTGTTACCTTATTTACTTTCTTTCTTTTAGAAAAATTGTTGCATTTCTATTATACTTTAGGGCAACCACAAGAGGCGGTGAACTAAAGGAAGAAGTATTCCTCTTCTCTCTCACACGTCATCTTTTTTTGGGCATAATACCCAAATTCTTCTTTACTTCTCATCACTTCATACATTAAAAAGATTACTAAAATTTTATTATTTCTTATTTATAAAATTAAACTCAACCCAAATATAATTAATAAATGAAAGAGTTGCCACATGGCTTAGAGTGAATGGCTAGTCTTTTTTTCTTTCTCTTCTTCTCCACGGAGGACTCCCCCTCCATGCTTGTCTTGGAAACTACCAAGGATATGTACTTCTCCTTCCACTTCTATATCTAATGAGCCAACCTCTTGAGGAGGGGTACTTCTCCTCCACCATTCTCCTTCATCCCAATGTGGATGACCTTAACTAGAAATTGTATAAAAAGTATTTTTAATTGTATTTAAATTGAGGGCAGTTCATGTGACATTGTTGGCATTTAGGCATTATCATGGGATGACCTGGATGTCGTGCGATGCCCCGTTTATAAAATTTACAATTCTTATCCCTCCTAACTCCCCGGCTAACTCTCTCACTTTGCCCCGATGTGAACCCAACCCCCATGCCCTTCAAGTGCACCCTCCAGAGTCAAATAAACTTGGTGGGTGCAATTGAAGGGGCTAGAGTGCTGGTGGGTTTGAGTCGAGGTGGGGTGGAAGCGTTTGCCGGGGAGGTTAGAAGGGGGAAAGAATCGTCAATTTTACAAACGAAACACTGTAAGATCCTCGGGTTATACTATGACATTGTCAGACAATGTCACATGAACCAGGGTGTTTTAAATGAGCCTAGAACGGTTGAAGACACAACCAAAAGGAAGAATAGTGAACGACCCTCTAAGATTAAGAGCATTAACACCCATGCCCATTCCGCCGTGCCACACAAGTCCTAGGTGAATTCACAGCTCGCCCGCCGTTGTAACCCTTCCGGTGCGTCGCATGCCGGGCTCCTCACCCAAAACGCGGCATCAGCTCACTACAGGCGGTCCACTGCATCAGAATTTTTTTATTTTTTTAATTTCTTAAATTTTTTTTCTTTCATCCCTATAAATTCAACATATCTTTCACTTCAATCCATCCAATCTCATCTCTCTAAATTTATCAATTTTCTTAATTTCTCTTCATATTTCTTGACTTTTTTTAATATTATTTTTGGTTTATAATCTTAATTTTGTTTTGGTGTATTTCATATTTTGTATTGATGTTGTGTTTAATAAAGAATGTCAATCTTAGCATTTTTATTTTAACTATATGTACTTTGCTATATCATTGCAAGATTTTGGGTATGATAGAAAAATTAATACAATGCTGATGTGGCAAAAGTTGGAACGGAAGAAATTTCTTTCTTATTAGTGTAAATGCTCTAACTTCCATTTAAGGTATAAACCCCACCCCTGGTGAGAAGGCTAACAACGCCACAGTGTAGCTCAATAAAATTTCTTCATTGCTTGCTTCCGTGTCAGAGTATAACACATCATTAATTGTCTTGAATGTAATGGACTTTATTACAAGATAGTATCTATTGATATCATTCTCAATCTAATGAGGCACAAAGAGTCAATGCTTGCGCCTCTGCTAGGACTCGAACCTGGGTAAACTTCTCTATGAATCCTAGGAAGTGGCTTCCTACCACTAAAGCCAGGGGAGAAATTCAACACATCATTATATTAAAACACACAAATGACATTTGTAAATATGCGCATTTTGTGTAACTTTTTTATTATAAAAAACTAGTATTTTTACCCGTGCGACGCACGGGGTCGAACAAAATTTTTGTCGATTCCAATTTTTTTTCAATGTAATATATTTTCCGGAATCAAATAAAATATATTTCTAACACGATTTTTAATCAATGAACAACGACAAAGTAGAATAAATAATATTTGAGGAACTGGAAATGTACTCAAAAAAATCTTTTTTAATTCTAAATTTTTTGAAACACTTTAGGGTACACAACATTTTTGGTATAGTTGTAAGGATTTCCATTATCATCTAGAACCAATATTTTTAATTATTTCTTTGCCTTCACTCGTGCAAAAATAACATAAAGCTAATCATGAGTAAATACTTAATTGGTTAAAAATAATACAACAAAAGACAATGTTTGACCTAGACTTTTGTTAATAGTCATAACAAAATATAATAATATTAAGAATTGTCTTCTCTAGAATTTCAAGGGTAGTCCTGAATCAAATGATACCAAATTCATTCGGGGTATATAAATCTTTTTCCCAACTGATTTCCCAAAACGTCAATTGAAGTGATAATGTTCTTTCTCAACTTCTCAACGATTAATCTTCTACCATTACACAATCCGGATATTTGGTCAATGTTCTTTAATGACATAATCAGTACCCCATTTTAAAAAATTATTTTGTGGTTTAGGATCCCGGAACATTTGATTTTATTAA